TTCTGTTTGTGTTTCTTTAATCACACCAGCCTTTATACAACATTGTTAGCAACAAATTTATCAATCTGATTTATAACTTTTGTGTTTTTTTTTTTCAGGAAATGATAGATTGTTCTACATGCCCTCCTGAATGTTTCTAAGTTTTGCTTTACTCCCATAGTACACTTCTGCACCTGGAAACTACTTTTGTACATAGGTTGAGGCAGGGATCTAAATATGTATTTTGATGTATGGATCAACAGTTGCCCCAGCCTAACCCTTTCCATGCCCCTGCTGATTTGTAATATCACTGCCTAGATCTACACAGATGTTTCCATGCTATTTCTTCTATTCCTTTGCTTCCATTCTGTTTTAGTTGCTGCCGTTTTATAGTAAGCATTGTTATTTGCTAGGCTAAGTCTTCCTTTATTATTCAAATTCAAAATTGCTACTCTCGGCCCATTACAATTATGAATTTCAGGATCAACTTATAAAATTCTATGAAATGTTTCATTGGGATTTTATTAGGGATTCCTTTGAATTTGTGGATTTTTTGGGGGAGAACTGATATTCTTGAGCTCTTTCATATGTTTAAACATAAACCTTTTTGTCCTTTTACAAAAAGATTAATCTGGAGGTACCTTTAGAGCTGTTTCCTTACTGTGGCGAAACACACTATTTATAAATACTGCCTTTAAAATTTTTTTTCAAATTACCTGTTGTTGATGTATTGTTGTTGTTGTTGTTGCTATGAGTCCATTCCAACTCATAGCGGCCGTGCTGTGGGTTAATGCTCTGGACTGCAAGGTTGGTATGAACTGCAAGGTCGGTGGTTCAAGCTCACCAGCCATTCCTCAGAAACCCTATGCTGGGTCGCTATGAGTCCATTCCAACTCATAGTGACTGTGCTGTGGGTTAATGCTCTGGACTGCAAGGTTGGTATGAACAGTTCAAGCTCACCAGCCACTCCTCAGAAACCCTATACAGGGTCGCTATGAGTCTGAATCGACTCAACAGCACTTAACAAAAGCAACACATAGGGGTTCCAAGGAGCAGCTGGTGGGTTTGAATCACCAACCTGTGGTTAGCAGTTCTGTTTCTATCCTATAGTGCCACACCAGGGTCCTTGATGATGTATAGGAGATGACATTGATTTTGGCATACAGATCCAGTAACTGAATTTTCTTATAAGAGTGTTGAATTTTTTTGTATGGGCAATAGTAATTTTTATTTCCTTGGTAATCCTCAGTCCTTTTTTCCCATCCTTGAAGTGTTGAATAAATATGGTGATTGCAGGCAATACCAAAAAACAAAACAAATCAACAACTCTGTTCCCTGAGTCAATTTCAAGTCATTGAATCTCCAAGACAGGGAAGAACTGCCCGCAGAGGGGATCGAAGGCTGCCCTCTTGTAAGCAGACTGATACATCTTCCTTCAGAAGTGGTTGGTGGGTTCAAGCCAACCACCTTTCGTTAGCTTTAACCGCTGTGCCACCAGGACAATTGTAGATTTCACTGTGAAGTGTGCTTGTGTTGTTATTTTGCTTTATACTTTTAGTAGAAACTTTTATTACATTAAGGACATTCATTTCTGTTCCCAGTTTTGAAAGATTATTTTTCCTTTTGAATCAATGAATGGGTGTTCAATTTTGTATTACTTTTCTATATATTTTTTTTCTTTATTTTGTTGAATTGTAAACAGTTTGAATAGATTCCTTTAAACATCAGTGAAATTGTATTTGCCACAATGTTCTTTTTTATAATAAACTGAATCTGTTTATTATGTTACTTTATGTAGGGCTTTAACTTTTTAAATCATATAGTAGATTAGCAGTAATTTTCCTTCCCAATACTGTCTTTGTCTGACTTCAGTATGAGGGCTCTATAGTACCATAGATGAGGGAACAGTGCTTTCATTTCATTAGTATCTACTTTTTTTGTTTGTTTTTTATAGTATCTACTCATAGAGAGTCAGTATAATGTGGTTAAGAATATTGTGAATTAATTATGTCTACTTGATGATGTTGTATGCTGTCGAGTTGGTTCCAACTCATAGCAGCCCTATAGAGGATTTTCCAGAGCAGCTGGTGGGTTTGAACTTACAGCCTGATGGTTATCAGTCCAGTACATACCCTACAGATGACAATGGTGGGGAATTGCTTTATTGGAACACAAATTTTATTCTCTGTAGTAGTAAACACATCACAAAGTACAGTTTGGAAATAGAGTAAGATTCAACGGTTACGTTTTTCTAAGTAATTGCTAATTCTTAGAAATGAAAAATTATCTCAGAAGTAAATTTCTATGAAAACTTAATGTCTCATTTAGCTATTTTTATACATCATCAGTGGCAATGAATATTTGCCTTCATGGGGAATTAATTAGTGTCATAGAACACATTGGCTTTATTTAAAGGAAAGCTTATATTACAAGGTCAAAAGCATTTGCTTTTTTAATCCAACATTATCTCTCCATAGTGCTGTAGGATAAGCACTAGACTACTAATCATAAAGTTGGCAGTTCAGACCTACTAGCTGCCTCACAGAAGAAAGATGAGACTTTCTGCTCTCACAAAGATTTACAACCTTGGAAACCCTACCTAGGGTCACTGTGAGTCAGAACCAACTTGAGGGCACTGAACAACATAGTGTGTTTAGGAGTGTAATGGTTCTACAGGAAGGATTAGCACTGGACTGAGAAGCACAAGGTTGGTGGTTCAAATCCATCAACTTTTCCACAGTAGAAAGATCTGTTCCCATTAAGTTTTACAGCCTTGAAAACCCTATACAGGGTCACTGTGAGTAGGAACCTACTCGACCACACTTAACAACAGCATCATGTGTTTGTGGCCACTTATGTTTATTTTTTCTAACTGTTTTACTTTTTAGTACATTCTTATTTCTTCAGTAAAGGTGGATTGCAAGGTGGCATCGCTTCTTTCTCGTACTGACTTGTGTTATGTATGAAGGAAACGTTGAATCTTCTGAGGGTTTTTATTCATTTCTGTTTGGTTTTCAGGGACCATGGTGAAGCCTGCTGGATCCTTAGCCAGAAGCAGCAGCTTGTGCCGCTCTCGCCGCAGCATGGTGCAGTCCTCGCCGCAGTCTCAACGTGCTCAGCTTCCCCCACATGCTGCGTCTCACCCCCGACACACCCACCACCCGCAACACACACAGCACTCGTTGCCTTCCCCTGATCCCGACATCCTCTCCGTTTCAAGTTGCCCTGCTCTCTATCGCAACGAAGACGAGGAGGAGGCCATCTACTTCTCGGCCGAAAAACAATGGTACTGACAAGGAGAGAACCAAAGATGGGGGGCTGGGAGGGGTTGCTTCTACTGCTGCTCAACACGTTGCCTTTAAACAGCACCCTTGATTAGCTCCCTGTCAGCCAGGGACCGCTTTCAGCTTCTTGGAGAGGTCCATGTTCCAGGCCACCTGACCCACCACCTCCAAAGCCATCAACCGAGACCCTCCTCCCTGGCTTTGAGTCTGGGACGCCCTCCCCTTCTCTGACCGCTAAACCTAAATGTAATGGGCAGAGGAGTCCAGGCCCACCCACATAATCTCTCCAGATTATTTAGATTGTTGGTTTGGAACCTTAATTCTGAAAAATCCCTTCCCAGCAACACCTGGATGAGCATTTGATTGGATAACTGGAAGTAGTTGTATTTATACCAGGAACTGGGCATCTGGGGCCATCTTAGAATTCTGCTTACCACAGACATACAGGTAGATATTTTGAGATTGTTTTAAATCTGACACCATTGGCTCACGTCTGAGAATATAAACTTGTCACATGAGCAGTTTTATATGTGAAGTATAAAGGCACAGGCATGCGTATACTGGAGCTCAAATAAACATCAAATAAGGCTGACGAGTTTTTAAAAAACTGTTTGTTACTCTGTATTAATTTAGTGCTATGTGCTAGTATTTATTGGTAAACAAGCAGAATCAGATGTCTAAAGCTTAGGAAAATGTCAAATACTTAGAGGAAGAAGTGATATTTCTAACTTGTTTTTACTTCAGTGCTCTCTGAAGGGTCATTTGATGCCTGTTTCTAAGCCACACAACTCCTTTTGAAACAGCGTGGCTTGAGTACCAGAAAAACTTGGTAGTTTCTTTGCCATTTCACGGCATGTAACTCCTGAAGCGTTACTACTTATTTAGGAGAAGTGTACGGAATGGGCTGGATGCTCTCTCTGACCCCAGTAGCTCCATAGCATGAGAGTCTTTGGTTGACCTCACCATCAGAGAATCAAGTTTTATACTCAGTTTTATCTACTAGTGAAAGTGAGTGTATGAGTAGCAAGCGATCACTAAAGCAGCAGATTCCTAAAGACCAGAGCCTAATAAGCCTGTCCTCATTGCAGCTGGAGCACACCCTGTCACCTTCCTTAGTTTGAACATTATGGTTAGCTTCTTGCTACCTTTGCTGCTAGTATGACCGGTCACCAGCAAGATGGCTTTTGTGGTAAAACTGTTTTCAATGACTTCTGGGAATAGGAAAACTCTCGAGCTGCTGCCTACCTTGATGGAAACGTTCAGCCCTCATTTCAAATGCCAGAGGAAAACTTTTTTTCCTCTCCCTTTTCAGTCTCTCAAGTATTGAGAATACTTGAAAACATATTAATAATAACAATATTTAGTGATCTTTTATGTTCTGTTCACTATGCATGTGCACACACTCTCATTCAAACCTCACTGTGAGGTTAAGTCTTGCTACAGGTGTATATATATATATATGAGAAAGATGAGGCTTTCTACTCCTGTAAAGATTTACACCCTCGGAAACCCTGTACAGGGTCGTTATGGGTCGGAACCGACTCGACGGCACT